TGTGTGTGTGTGTGTGTGTGTGTGCGCGCCATTGTGTTCTTTGTGTGCATGAGTACACACATGCAGCTGGAGTCCATATATCAAAAAATAAAATTACACAAACCCAGACCCGGGTGATTAGGGGGTTTGGTCACAGTGACTCACTGCAGCTCTCCATGTGAATTACTGGGAACATTGGCTCATTGTGAAATACAAACCTTGGCAACAGCTCTTCATTGAGAGACGAGTGTTTCAGCTGTACGTCGTGTTCATGGAGAGAACACTGGAGCAGCTGCTGCAGGATGTGATGCCGACAGAACCAAATTGTAAAAGTAATTTCTTCGTTGTGCGTCTTTGCTCAGATTTCTCTTCAGGGAAAAATGTCACTTTTTCCATCACATACCGTGGTAACCTTTATTATGTCCAGCTATCGTTGAGGACTGAGATTCAGGTTCGTGTGAACACGATTTCTCAAGAACACTTTGAGGGGATTTCTTCAGATTTGGTTCAGATATTTATTTGAACTCAGAGATGAACTGATTAGATTAAAGTTTTGTTGTTCGCAGTTTAACAGATTCACTTCTAAGTTTTAAATTTGCACTTGATGAAATATGTGGGAATAATCTGCATTAGATTAGAACGATAGATAATTTTGCTTTGCAGTTGTGACTGGTCACAGAGTCCGACCCACCTCATTGCAGGAGGAGCCGAAGGAGTGGACGGGGTCGCAGTCGCAGCGCTCGCAGCCCGTCCCGCTGGCGATGTTCCACGTGTCCGCGGCGCAGCGGTCGCAGTTCTGACCGACCACGTTGGGCTGGCAGGAACACTGACCGGTGTGCTGATCACACTGACACTCGTTCGGGGACGAGCAGGCCGGAGGTAGCGTCCCCACACTGTCACACATGCACTCTGCACAGAGAAGACGTTTTATACATATGTCACTACATCAATATCACACTCGGTGAGTTCGCGGTGTGACGTCAGCAGCTGGACTCACTCCTGCAGCTCTGCGTGGCAGCGTTGCCGTAGTAACCCAGTTTGCAGTGCTGGCACCCGTAGCCGTCGGTGTGGTACAGGCATTTGAGGCAGGCCCCCGTCCGGGCGTCGCAGGACCCCGGGTCGTGCATGTCGATGTTGTTGTTGCACCGGCAGGGCATGCAGCTCCCGCCGGGCACCAGAGGGTTCCCGAAGTATCCGGGGGCGCACTCGTCACATCTGGAACCTTCAGGAAAAGAAACGGCGAGATAAATTAACTGCTGGTAATAGAATTAAATGTCGCGTGGATTTTTTATTTTTCACTCGGGAGGTTTTCAGTGACATTAAGGCAGAAAAGACTGCTTCGTGTATTTAGAGGAAGATAATTACACGGTAATTACAGGGACACTGAAGTGTTTGGCTTTAAAGTGTGTGTGTGTGTATGTGTGTGTGTGTGTGTGTGTG